TATACTCTACATTTGAACTTGTCCTGTTGAAATTTCTTATAATCTACTTCATACTACAGTTATTTGTGTACTTGTTCTAGCTTCTGAATTATAAGCCTTTTAAATGCAGACACTCGACTTACTTATTCTTCACATTCAGTAAATATTTTTGAATGAATGATAGCATTCACAGCATTTTTCATCTGTAGAGACTGGTATTATTTCCTTTAGGTTTTCTTAAGTGTGATGTCCTTAAGTTTGTCTTCTGTTTTTAAAAGATGTGTTTCTCCTGAGCAAAGGTTTCAAGGATAAGTTTACTATGAACATATAATGGGTGGAAAATAAAATAATCTCGTTTGATGGTGATGATGGGGACTTACTCAGATAAACTTTTAAAAATAATTTCAGAAAGATATTAGTCTTAGAATGAGTTTCTCCTGCAGTGTTTTGCTGAATTCTCTTCATCCTACCAAGAGTGACCTGTTTTCTGTTCCTTATAGTTGAGCCTTCACTGACCACAGCCACTGAAGTCTTGACTCTTCCACTTGCAGGTATGGAAAGTCGTTCCTAAGAAATTAAGTGCTAATGGAAAGAGCTGAGAGAGACTTAACTACAAGCTAGGGAAAACCATAGGCAAAGTTAAAGTGGAAAACAATCCACATACAAGTCATGGAAATTAGGGAAATTTTCCTAACCCTTAGCCTTTTTAAGTATTGATTCCTTCTGTCAACTGGGGAACTCATCTCATATTACAAAGATTAAGAACAAGGGGGCCAGCCTCTGGCATGCATTGACAACAGTAACTAAATAATTTATTATAATAAGCCCGATAGTGTTGCCATGCTGGTATCTTTCAACTCTCAGGTGTTGAAGATCCACCAGCCTCCACGTTCTCCCTGGGATCTGAAACTGCTTCCTCAGTGTACACACTTACAGGTAGATCGTCTTTGCTGGCTACATTTGCTTTAGGTTCTATTTACTCTTTAGAAGACACTTCCCTGATATATAGTACAAATATTTAAAGCACATCAGAGTTTCCCAATTCCTTGTTACTGTCCAAGAACTATTGATAAGAGTCAAAAGGGACAAGCTATTTTTCAAAGTGGGATGTGCATTCCATCACCTGAAACTCTTGAAGAATTAGTTTCTCTATCTGCCAATGGTTTTTACTGGGAAATCCATTCTATTTCACTGACTCATGAGCTCAACTCACGGCTACTGAAGCAACTATAAAAGTGTCCAAAGAAGTTAAAATATCTGCCTATCAATATGCAAACGAACAGCTCTAACACCACTATTACAAAATAGGCATTTTCTTTCATATCTCTGTGGGAAAAAATGCGGGCCTTAAATGACATGGAAAAGCCAACAATGCCCCAGCATATTTGTATGCATATTGGATGCCGGTGAGGTGTGTTTCCCCAATTGGATGCTCCTGGAACCCAGAAGAGTTGGGTAAGAAGCAGGTCTCTCAGTGGTAGGCACACAGCATGGGCAACAGTCCTCTCTGTCTGATCGATACCAAGACTTTATCCAAAGGCTACTGCATAGGCGGATCATGACTGATGGTTAAGGCCAGCTCTATTCCCCACCATATTGCCAACTATGATATGAAACTGCCCACCAATTCTTCACATTAAACACTAGTTTGCCAGGCTAATTTATCACTAATTTGATCTAACTAACCCCATAATAATATGGCAGTAAGATTGTTCGTTTGGATTGATATTGTATAAGGCAAAGTGAGGAACAAGATCTGCTCAGAGGTGCTATGTATGTCTCACGCTGCTCAGGTAACACATTGCCTAGATAAATTTGCCAAACACTTAGGGAGAGCATAAAATGTCCAGTCATTCATATGAATCCCTTGTCTATGTGATTTCATACAGTTATTTGCTTCCTAAAGGGGAACAAAGAGAGACAGCAACATAGAGATCCCCAAATGGACTCGTAAGCATTCAAAGAAGAACGTACAGACCATTGGGAATACTCTAAAATGCTATCCTAAAGAATGAATCACAAAGCTCAGAAAGAGAGGAAGGGAGATCTCCCTGCCTAAAACTTTTTT